AGGTGACTAGATTAGGCATTAGAAGATCTGGATTTTAATCATAAAGCTGCAGTAGGTATCATACCACCTAATGGAAATTGTTATGCATTGCTTTTTCCTGCAGCAACTTTGAGTGAGGATGTCCATGGGGGTATGTGATGTGTGCCTCTTAGATTCCCAGATAAAGGATAAGCCAGAGATCTTATCTTCAAGTGCCTACATGAGCCAGGCAAGTGATAGAAATGAGGGAAATGGGCAGATATAATAAAATAAGAAATAGTGGGGACTATGGCCCACTGGAGGGCACAACTTGTGTTTAAAATATGATGGGGGCATGGGGTGTGCTCAGAGCAGGGAACCTGAAGAAATGGCCCCTCTGTTTATAACACACCCAACAGGAATCTGGGTTCGCTGTGACAAGGGGCACAAAACGTGTGGCCTTCCTATGAACAGACACCCTACATGTGTCCCAACCTGCATCTCCACATGGCTTCTGGATAGGACCAGCAGCCTAAGGCTTTGTAGGCCTCAATCCTGGAGGCGGAAGCCCTGGGAGTGAGCGTGGGAGTGAGACATGGGCTGGAGGGTCAGAACAGCCCCCCACCCCCACCCCCAGGAACTGAGCTGCAGCACTGGGCCTGGGAAGGCGCCACCTGGGAGCCACTGGTACAACAGGTTTTCCTGGCTGGACGCAGACGTTTATCATCCTCCCGCACTGAGGTACCTGGAATACAAGAAGATCCCCAATAGCAGCCCAGTGGAGTATGAATTCCTCTGGGGTCTGAGAGCCTTCCACAAGACCAGCAAGGTGGGTGTGCTGAGATTCATCACCCAGCATCAGAACCGAGATCCCGGGAAGGGAAAGCTCATTTCTTAGAGGCTGTGGATGATGCGTTCAAGATGATGGATGTGGATATGGCTGAGGAACATGCCAGGGCCCAGATGAGGGCCCAGATGGACATCGGGGATGAAGCGCTGATTGGATGGTGGAGCTGGGATGACACACAGGTGGAGCTTCTGACGTGGTATTAGGATGGAGATTTTAGCAATCGCTGGGCCGGGGTTCCCTTGGCTTTCTGGGCTAGATACCATCAGTAATTCTGAATGGCAACCGTGCCAACTGGAGAGGCACCAGGAGAGCTGGCATCAGCCGTGGCTCCAGTGGGGGGGCCAGCACCACATTCTTGATGGGCCCAGCACCAGCTCCATCATCCCCGCCAGAAATGCTGCCAGAGCAAGTGCCAACTTCTCCCAGATCCATCAGTGCTGATGACCTGCAGCAGTCACTCACCAAGCCAGAGTGCCTCCTCAGACTCCTTCTTATAACACAGCACTAGGGGCACCTTCTACCTGCCTATCCAAGGTGGCACGCAAGAGGAAGCTGTCTTCGCCCTTCCTGCTTTCGTTGTGTGCTTTTGTCCTGTTGTCATGTTCTTGGTATCAGTATTATATTAAAGTTGCAACCTTAAGAAAACAAAAAAATAAATTAAATAAAATATGGGAGCTAAACACACCACATCTGCAATCCAAATACACTTACGGCATAAGCTTCTTAACAAACATAATTGTTTCTAGAACATCTCTGCCATATGCAAAATAATAAAGGAAGAAAGAAGAAAAATAGTAATTGCTAAAATGTAATCGAGTACCTACAAAGTGCTTAGAACTGTTCTAAATTTCATCTGGTTTAATTTTATGTCATTAATATAATTACTTCTGTTTTACAAATGAAGAAATTAATTCACAATACTTAGTAAGTGTATATTGGCTGCTCTATTAATAAATAATTGGATGTTAAGAAATAAAAACTAGCACAGAAAAAAACAACATATCAGGGCCCTGAGCCAAACCCCTAACCCTGATGAAGGAAGCACCCTCCAAAAGAGCTTCCATCAGAGAATGGCTCTCAGCTCCTCTTCCGACATCTCCAGGTAGGAGGATGAAGGTCATTCCCCGAGCCCATCAGTAGCTCACTCTCCGCAATGTAACTGAGACCTCGGCATTTCTGATAGAGTCGACACAGAACAGCTCTGTGCCATCTGCAAGGCCCGTCTCCCTTGTTTCGCAGTCAACAAACAAAACAGACTCCTTCTCCTGTGTGTGGATATAACGCTAACAATTATGAGCAGCCGTCGCTTATTAAGTGCTAACTCTGTGCTTAGTGTTATTGGCATTGTAGCATCTCCTCTCATTCTCACAAGGATCTCATGAAGTCAGTACTGTTCTTGTGCCCATTTTACAGATAAGGACATTGAAGCTCATGGAGGTAAATTAACTTTTCCCAGATCACACAGCCAACAAGTGCCAGAACTGGGATATGAATTCCAGTGGGCTCATCTGCAGAGCTCATGATCTTGTGATCGTGCAAAGAAGACTGAGAAGCAAAATGCATTGAGTTTTTGTGTATGTTTGTCAACCAGTTTCTTAAAACATGAAATCCTCTTTTCACACACAGTCTTGGCACTAAACTTCAAATTATTATATCCTAGAAAAGAGCAGATGGTTTCTATTCTGGTTGAGGGTGGAGAGTGAAGGGCCAAACACTGCCTCCACTATATTCTCTCTCACCTTGATTTCCTCTAGCATCACTGCTGGTCATCTTTACTCTTGTCTGACGCCCCTCCTCCTGCCCCCCGTTTTTCCCTGTTGCAGGCTCTGCTTTGCTCTCATTCATCTGGGCGGACCAGAGATTAAACACTCAGTCCTCCAGGTACTCCCTTCTCTACCTGCCCTCCAAGAGCGCTCGACACACAGATCATCCACTGCCATTGTGTTAATGACCCTCATGTGCTTGTCTCCAGGCCCATATCCCTAGCGGCTTGTAGGACATGTGGGGTGAGCATTTTCCCCCAAGAACCAAGATGGATTTAACTCTGAGAGAACTGACTGGGCATTGTGTGCAGAGGTGTCAGAGGATGGTTATTTAAAACTGCACGGAGGATGTGTCCGCTTCAGAGATGGCTCCCGTTATTTTTAGGTAACTGGTGAGGAGGACCGCCCCCTCCCAGACCCCACAGCCTGCCCTTCTCCCCACCACACTCCCTTCCACGTGCCTGATTGAGGGTGTTCACCCATGCAGAGGGTGTTCAATCAACATGTGCTCCATGGGCAGGTGGGTCTGCACAGTTTAGAAGCATGAGCACCTTTTTCCTCAACATGTCTGATCCTAGCTGAGAGACAACAGGTACAGTGATTGAGAAAGAATTCTGAAGTCAGACAGACCTGGCTTCAAATCTTCCTCAACTACTTGTGTGATCTCTCAGCTCGGTTTTCTCATCTGCAAAATTGGGACGATATTATTAGTTCTTGCTCATTGTTTCGTTGGGAGGATTAAAAATGTGGTCAATCACATAACACATTGAGGACAGGGCCTGGCCTGTAATAAGGCTAAGTGCCTGGTCATCTTTAGGATTATTTTGTATCCCTTTGCTTTTGAGGTCGTTGATGAGCTCTGTAGCCCCAAGAATTACTAAAGCAAGGTCACATTTCCTACTTCTCCAGGCTGTGGACTTTTTTTTAAAGCATAGCACATAACTAAAGAAAAAGAAGGAGATAAAAGGGAAGAGACTTTCCACAAATGGAGTATATACAACTGCTCATCAGGCATCATGAGAGTTGCTTTATCTTTTTAATGTCTTGTAACTTCACACAGTCCAGATGGGGAATGAAAGTTGGATTTTATTGCTCCCACATGCCAGTGTTTCTCAAAGAGCATACTCTGGACCAATGAGTATTAGAATTTCCTGACCAGGGACCCAGTCTATAGCCTCGGAATTTCTGGAGCAAGTCCAGAGCATCTGTCTCCCCAATGAATATCATCAAAATGTGAGGACCTTTGACTTAGTACTTGTATCATATCTAAGACTTGATCCTGTATTTTCTTGTATTTTTACATATAAGCATGTCATTTCTTCCCTAACTAGATACATTCTTCAAGGTGGGAAGAGTTCTTGTAACCCCAACTGTGTACAGCTAGAGTTTTCTAAAGTTCTTGTAACTCCAACAGTGTCCAAGCCTGCACATGGCATTGGGAATTCATGAAAACGTTTGGCTAGGTTTAGCTTTCTGCCCTGCAGGGTCAATGCCTTAAGACTGATAGAGACCTTGGGGCCCTGGGTGGCTCAGTCATTAAGCAACTGCCTTTGGCTCAGGTCATGATCCCAGGATCCTGGGATCGAGCCCCACATCAGGCTCCCTGCTCGGTGGGAAGCCTGCTTCTCCCTCTCCCACTCCCCCTGCTTGTGTTCCCTCTCTTGCTGTCTCTCTCTGTCAAAATATAAATAAAATTAAAAAAAAAAAAAAAAAGATTGGTAGAGACCTTGAGTTAGAATGGCAGTTCACCAATACCCAGTATTACTACTATACAATGTTGAGTTTTTAATCTATGCTTTCTCATTGTCGGTTGGGTGTGCTTTTACTGATTGATACACTGAAATTCCTGACTTCCTGACCAGGGAGCAAAATTGACAAGTCTCTGAAAACTAAAGTCCCTTCCAGGTTTCAGAATGTTTGTAAAACAGAAACTCACAGGTCTTCCCATCTTAACACAGAAAGCTGGGCCCCTCCTGACCAAAATGGTTATTCAACTTTTGAACATATGCCTTAAAACATAATTTTCGTTGCAGGATCAGCAATGATCTGTGCTAGCTTTAAGGAAAAGGAAGAACTTGTTACTTTATGATGTGTTTGTTCCTGAGCAATTGAGAGGTTTGCCATACGTTTTTATGGTCGTTTTCTTTGAGGTTCCATAAATGCCTTCTGGAATGTGGAGGTTCCACCATCAGAGTCATATGGGAGCTTTTCTAGTGCCCTAATGTCATTAACCCAGCTGCTTTGTTTGCTATAATACGCATTGATTTCTCCTACATTTGAAAGGCAATTCTCTGATCTCCAACCCATTTAACCATGTTTGATCTCAACAAGATGAAAAATGTTTGGAATCTAAGCTTATGATCTTTGTGCTACATTTTTCTTCTTTTAATTACAGTAGCTTCCCCTTCTTACCCCCTTCTCTCCTTTAGGATCAACACTCTGTGGTAGGCCAGAACACAGGCCCCAGTCCAAGTCCCAACCCCTGCTCAAATCCAAACACCGGAAGTGGTTATGTGAACTCCCAGCCATCACTGTTGAATCAGCAATTGATGGGAAAGAAACAGACTCTACAGAGGCAGATCATGGAGCAGAAACAGCAGCTTCTCCTCCAGCAGCAGATGCTGGTTGATGCGGTAAAACTTTCTCCTAATTTCTACTACACGTACCTATTAGCCTAACAGAGGGAATTAATTATTTTCCCTTTCTGGTCACTGCCTTTTTCTCTGTGCCTGCTTAGGTGAGAGCAACAAGAGTATCCTGGCTATAAGAGAAGCTAATTCTATACCTAAGTTAAAGTGCTGCAGGGAAAAAAAAAAAAAAAACACTTGATTTACCAGCTGGTGGACAGTTGGAATGCATGGCACCCCACCTAACTAGCCCTGCCCAGCCCAGGAATGTTAAGAACCACCAGCATGGGTGTTTGAATCAGGCAAAAGGAGCCATTTTGGGGCTATAGCCCCGAGGAGCAGAAATCGTGGACAGAACTTTAATCGACTTGAATTCAAACTGATTTTAGAGATAAAAGGAGTTTCCAAAACAGTTGTAAAAGCCAGCATGGGGTTTCAAAACTGAAAATTTGACTTCCAAAATAAAGCATCTCAGAAGGGGGGATGTTTTTAACGAAAACTGAGGATATATTTCCAACTTTCACCATAGTTAACTGGTCTTAAAGAAAGGCAAGATGGTTATTTCCCCAGCAGGACCCGAGCATTAGCCCTTCTTCACTGTTATCTGCTCTCCCTTCCGCGTCCTCAGACATACACTCAGGCACAGGTTCAAACCCCCCTGCCTCCGAACACCAAGCCCATCTCCAAGTTTCATTCTCTCCCTTTAGACAGTTTGGCAAATGAAAGAAAAAAGGGGCAAAGTTAACCATCTCCAAGTTGATAGAGTCACGGTACACAGAGATGTGAAAAACAAAACAAAACAAAAAATGTTTATACTCAAGGAGCTTTGTAGTAAAAGTCAGAAATCTAGGATGTGGTAAGTGCTATCATTCGTTCGGTAAATATTAGTGAATTTACGCTGAGAAAATGGCTATAAATAAGATAGACCGTGTCTTTGTCCTTAAGGAGCTTAGAGCCCACAAGGATGTGAAATACAGGTAATTGGAAGGCAGGTGATTAAATGCTGTAATGTAGTGAGTACTGGAAATGGTTTCAGAGAGGAAGTTATGTCTACTGAAGATCTGAAGGTGAAGTAGGTGATGGGAGAAAGAGGAGGGGAGTGTTCAGGCCAGAAGAACCAGCATATTCAAAGACTCAGAGACAATAACGTATAATGATGTAGTAGATGGAAGTAGAGGTTAAGGAAGTAATAGGCAAGGAGACCAGAGATGAGAGGCCCTAGGGTAGAGCTTGATAAATTCACACTGTCTGAAAAGCAAGGGAGAGGACTTTAAGGATTTGAAACAAGGAAGTGCTAAACTCAGATTTGCATTACAATAAAGGTGTGAACAGAGGAAGAGAACAGGTAATGGAGGAAAGATAACATCCATCCTGGAGAGATTAAAGAAAGTCTCCTAGAAGAGGTAAAATTTGACTTTGACTTTGACCTTGAAGACTGTTGGATTCTGATGGATAGACTAGGTGAGGAGGGGCCAACAAAAGGTACAGCCCAGGTGTATATTTGTTGATGGGCCTGAGACTATATTCTAAAATATTTAATACAAGATGAAAAGTGTAAATAGGAACATAATCATTATTTTTGAGGAATGACAAATGGAGTAAGTTTGGAGTCGAGAGCAGGAGAGAAGATATAGTTAGGGATGAATAAGGAATAGTGAGCAATAAGTGTACAGGTGACCTTGGGTACTGCCCTAAGGTACCAGGTATAGGGGTGTCAAGGACTCGATCACAAAGCAACACAACCAATTTCTTCTACAAATCTTCTGTAAGTTTTGGAAACTCCAGCTGTCCCACCAACTCCCTCCCTTTTTTGATCTTCATCAGCTAAATAGCTCAGAAACGAGGGCGCTGGGAGAGAAAAACATGCAATCTCCGATTGACTCTCATTATTCCCATCAGTACTCCTGTGTTGAATTATAACATGCAGAGGTCGAATTTCTGGATTTTCAGCTCTGATTAAAAGGCAAGGAAACGTGCCCCAACGGTCGTGTCCTGGCGCTGGCCAGACTCTCACTGGGCCCCAGTTGAGTCACCTCTGGGACAGTTGCAAAGGGCAGTGGCATAAGCTGTGAGAGATGAATGAGAAATGGGACTGCTGTTTTGTGCTTTTTACAAACCACTCACATTGGTCTTTGTTTGGACGCCATTGAGGGTGCCTGTGCTTTTTAGCATATCCAGGAAGAAACAGTCTTTGATCTGGCTTTACATTATCATATGCTAATGTAGTCATTTCCAATCAGTTGGCAAGGCCAGAAAGGCGCCTAAATTGAGACATTTTCTCATGAAAGTGCGTTATCCTTACTCCCCGTTATTCTCCCACCAATGAAGCCCAAAGAGGAAAGACGAGTCATGAGTAACACGATGGGCGTCATGATAACCAACACATTTCGTGCACCTTCTGTGTGCCAGGTGCCATGCCAAGCTTTCACAGAGGTAAAGGACTGGTCCTTACAATCGGAGTTATGAGGGAGGTCCTAGAATTATCTACATTGCACATTTTGAGATGGCAAAACTGAAGCAGGACCGATAAATGCGACAGAGATTATTTCTATAGTAGGTTTTCAGGTTATTGGGTTGAATTATTGGGTCCGAGATGAGACATTAGTTGAGAAGTTCAATTTCCTGTAGTCTCAGGGATGGCCTGTGAGTTTACGCTTACACAGAAGGGGACTGTCATCCTCTTGCATGGAATGGGAATGGGAGCAGCCCGCATTCCCTGTCACAATCGGGTCTTTGCTACCTCTCAGCGTGAAGTGACAACAGGGCCTCTCCATGATAGTCCTTATACCAGGCCGTTAAATCTAACTCATGTGCGAGCAAGTAGTTCAAGAAACTCAGGTGTCCAGAGATGTGTTGTTAACCCTTGGAGCAACCTAATTTAGGCCTCAGGGAAATAAAAGGTCAGTAAGTAGATTGAATATACATAAAAATAAGTTCAGATTTGAGATCTAGTCTTTAGTGGGGAACCAAGAGCCCGACCCTCTCTTCTCTGTTTCTCTCTCTCTCTCTGTCTCCGTCTCTCTCTCTCTCTCTCTCTCTCTCTCTACACACACACACACACACACACACACACACACACACACACACACACCCATGGACAAATCCTGTTTTCTTCAGTATAAACAGCAGAAACACCTACTTACATAAGAAAAAATGATAGAAAAAATGATAGAAATTCTTCTCTTTTGAAAAAGAGAAGAATTCAGAAAGTCCCATGCTTGGCAAAAAAATCAAAACTGTCAGCTTGCACAATAGTTTACAATAGGCATGGTTGAACATCACCACATTTGGGTTCATGGAACATCTCAAGCTGTTTCTTAAACATTTAGGGTTTGGGCAAAACCATAAAGACTTTCACCAACCACTTTTTTCCTTAATTTGTAAACCCATATTTAAAAGAAATGTAATCCATATGTTTCTGATTCATTTACACTTAGCTCATCAAAATTGTGTTTCATACGAATTACTTGATGCCCCAAAACCCCTGTGAGTCTTTCAAGTTTTTTTCTTAGAACCAAAATTTGAACTTGGTTTGTTGTTGTGTTAAGGTCCTTTTTTTTTCCTTTGTAGTAGATTTGTTCTACTTTGAAAGTTTGGAATTTGATGGGAAACTGAGAAATACATGGTTCAAATGGGATCTAAGTTGGCCAGTGCACATTTGGCCTCCATCTAATTTATCCATCTATCTTTACACAGTTTTCTTTTCTATTTATTGACTTTTCTATAATTATATTGTTCTCTGTCTACCTATGCCAGTTATGTTTATCTTTGAAAATGGAGGTTGCTTTGGGGTGCATACAAAGTTGCAGTAAAGCAATTCTAAAAACTTCCTGATCCACGTTGAGGAAAAAAAAAAAAAGCAGTCCCTGATTGTCCAGATGGATATGACACTTGCAGCGAGGCCATTTTGGTTTTTGTCAGATGAACGAATACCAACCTCAGATGGGATTACTCTGAGACCATGATAAAATGAGACAAAATAAGGCCACTTCATAATTTTATCTAAATACAGACACAAGGTCACTCTGTAACCCACAAAATACCAACCCCTCCTTTTGCTAAATGAGCAACGGCTACTTCTTTACTCAATAATGGAATCAACCTCACTTTGACAGCTTACAGCCTAGAACAAATCATTGCTTCCTTAGACCCTCCCTAAATCATCCAATCAATGCCCAAATCCTAGGATAGGTTCTTTCTAACGCTCTAGTGCTGAGACACCCCAGTGTCCCCCATGCTGCAATGAGTAATAAACCCAGCAGGTGTGTTCCTGGTAGTCTTCGGCTAAAGGCGTTGACAATATAAAAAGAACGTACCCATTTCCTCTCTTAGCTCCCAAACTGACCTCCTCTAGAGATCTAAAGGTGGCTGATTCTGGAAGGAAGAAAAGAAGGGGACCTGGGAAACTGCTGTGCTTTGAGAATGGGGCACAGAGAAACAGAGAAGCAAGTATTGTATTGTGTGGCAGGGAAAGGGCCAGAGTCTTTGACTCAGGATTCGATTTCTGTTCTACTGCTCTGATCTTTGGCAAGTTACTTGGCCTAAGGAAGCTTCCATTTCTTCATCTATTAAGTGGGAATAATCACACCTATTTCAAGCGTTATTTTAGAGGGGGGAAAATGAGGTAATAGGTAATAAGGCCCCTACCAATACCTGATAGGATATCTGCTGGCATCTTCTCTTATCTGGGGTTGCCAGACTTAACAAATAAAAATATAGAGTTTCCAAGTGTCCTGTATTTTCTCTGGTAACCCTACTCCTATGCCTTCCACACTCCATGGGACCAGAATTAAATAATAGGTACCAAAGCATATCAGGTGTGCTACAAAATAAAACTAGAAACACCATCTCAAAAATCACAGGAATTTAGCTCTCACTGAAATCTAATGGCAAAATAAAGAAAATGAGATTAGTTGCTAGACCCAAAACACACATTGAGTGTTGAGGAGAGGTAGAAATTATACTTCCACGCAGGAGATTTATTGAAATTGAAAAGACCAGTTTCTGAAGTAACACTAGTATATAAGGTGTATGATTTGCAACAATGGCTGCAAAATTTTTCTTGCAGTCTTACTTTTTTGAATGACAGTCTATAAATGTTTACAAGTGAGAAAGTAAGCATGCAACTTAACGTGATTTCATTTGTATATTCAAGGAGAAGATTGCTCCGCAGGATCAGATAAATAGACATTTGACAAGGCCACCACCAGATTACAAAGACCAAAGAAGAAACACGGGCAATATACAGCCAACTGCTGCTCAGTATTCTGGTGAGTAGTCTTAAAAATCAGTTAAAAACGGGGCACCTGGGTGGCTCAGTCAGTTAAGCATCTGCCTTCGGCTCAGGTCATGATCTGGAGTCCCGGGATCGAGCCCCGCATCGGGCTCCCTGCTCAGTGGGGAGTCTGCTTCTCCCTCTCCCTCCAGTTCTCCCTCTCCTTCTCCCTCCGCTCCTCGCCCCCGCTCATGCCCTCTCTCTCTCTCTCGCTGTCTCTCTTTCTAATAAATAAATAAAATTTTTAAAAAATCAGTAAAAATCATAACTGTCGAAGAAAAAAACTGTTCCGTTTTTAACATTTCCTCCTCTCCCCACCTCATAGGGAAATGTAGCATCTTTCTTAGATCCTGCGCTAGCTCCCATTTAGCTTGCAGATCAAGACCAAAGTTGAGTGGTGTTTAGTCTTTTCATCATTTCTTGCCAATTCTTGTCCTCTATTCATGTATTTCACTGCCCTTCGAAGTACCTCTGAGGGTTCAAGAGAGCTTCAATATTTTCTAACTCCTCGGTTCCACCATTCTCCTCCCAGCAAGGTACCCTGACCCAGATCATGGAAGGTAAGCCGACATCCTTCCCTCTTGGCACTTGCATAAAGCCCGATCCTCTTGTCTCCACTTGTCCTCAGTGCGGCGGAAGGACACGATGGAGGTTCATTGGGAACATGGCTTCTTACACCATGGCCTATCAGTGGGTTCAGAGGAGGCTAGGAGCCTTGGAAATACTATACAAAATTCAAGGTGGATGTTTGGGCTTTTCTTTTCCCATTCATATAAAAGAGTCTCAAGGATTGCAGTCTCAGGCTGATTAGGTGGCTGTACAGTGTTGTCAGGGGTCAAGGCTTCTTCCATCTCCCTACTCCACCGTCTTTCACATGGAGCTTCCACCCTAAGGGCTGCCCTGTGGCCACCACACCACCATCCTTCATCGTATTCCAGGTAGAAGGATGAAAGAAAGGAAGAGGTAAAATGCCCTCCCAAATGAGTCAGATTCTCTTTTTAGAAGAGGTTTCTTGAGGGGCACCTGGGTGGCTCACTTGGTTAAATATCTGCCTTTGGCTCAGGTCATGATCTCTGGGTCCTGGGATCGAGTCCCACGTCGGGCTCCCTGCTCAGGGAGTCTATGCCTCTCCCTCTCCCTCTGCTTCCCCCCCCCTTGTGCTCCCTCTCTCTCTCTCTCTCTCAAATAAATAAATAAAATCTTTAAAAAAAAATAAAATAGGTTTCTTGTAACTTCTACTTCTAGCCAAAATTTACCTAGTAACTTCTGCTTCTAGCGAAAATTTATTCATCTGGACCCCTCCATCACTGAGGAAGTTTGGGAAATGTGGTTTTTCAGCTTGGCACATTGCTGCAAAATCAAGGGTCTGTTTCTAAGGGAGACAGGGAGGTTGGATGCTTGGTAGGCACCTGCGAGTTCCTTTCACAGTGCACATGGGCTTCTTCCTAAGGGAGGGATCCTTGGCATCCAATTGCCGACCCCCAAATGGATAAGAATCAGTACTCTAGAGTATTGTACTTCCCATGTCTTCTGAGAATGAAATAACCAACAAGCGCAACACAAACTCTTTTATCATTTTTTATTTTAATCTCAGTGCAGTAATAGTCACCTTGCCCAAATTGTTAATATTAGAGATGATGTATGAAAAGTACATGGAACAATTTTTACCACATATTCGGGACTTCTAAATATTAACTGTGATTACTATTTTGTGACCTTTATGGAAATTCTCTCTATTGTGGTTGTTTAAAACTATTGCTCTCCTCTTAAAAACCTTCTCAGGGCTTATTGTCAAAATAGAGGGCACCTAGAGGGAATGATTTTTAAAACCTCTAAATTTTTTTCTCATAGCACTTTCATAGTGTCCATTCCCTTCCCGTGAAATCCTTAGATACCGAGATGCTGTTGCTTACCCTCATTGGCTGTCTGTCAACTCTTTACTGTTCCAGCATCTCATACCCGACTCTGATCCCTCTTTATCAAACTCTTCCTGCCCTCCCAGTGCAGGGCTTGTCTGGACATACAGGGAGATACAAGAGACTGTTCCTGCCTTCAAGGGGTCTATAGTCTAATGGGAGACATTTTAAAACAAATAGCAAGGACTTGAGCCCTTCGGGGTAGCTCGAAGCTAACCATGCTAGCTATCCCCAAACCGTTCTGGGGTTCCCTAGAGCTACAACCACAGCCATGTTCTTCTCCTACAGTAATGTTCTGATATTTCTGTGTGTGTCTAATTCTCCTTCCTTAGCATTTCTGATTCTCTGGGCATCTCTGCATCTGTGCAGGGAGAGTACTTTAAAAGAGTATCTTTCTGCAAGTTATATATTTGCTTCAATCTCTCATTTACTCATTCATTCATTCAATATAAATCAAATACCTACTTTGCACCATCCACTAGACTTTTCTCTAGGACAGTGAACCAAACAGGCAAAAATGCTTTCCCCCGTGGAACTTAATCATCCACCAGACACTTACTTTTTATCTTTCTGACATTCCATTTTTGCTTCTCAAGATGTCTTCCCATGATGACTTTCACCTCCCTGAGTCAGGAAGATTTTAACATGTTGACTAATCACTATCTGATACGTGATACGCCTCCCTATCTGGCAGCCTATGATTCATGGTTCCACTTTGAGGTTCCATGGATTTCCCAATACAGAAGCTTTAAGTGCTAAGTGAAAACTTCAAAGAGCAAATCCTGCTGGAAAGAGCAGGCTGGAGTATCAGGCGAAGCTCAGTGAAGGAGCTTAGACTTTGGCCTGAGCTTTGAAGGAAAAGTAGGGTTCGGGGAGTTAAGGGCATCATATGAAAGGGACATAACATGAGCACAGGTGGCTCATGGTATGTGGATAACAATGCAATAGTAACTATACCTCCTGGAATGGAGGGCTTTCTACATGGAAATCATCACTGGAACATGGACACCTTGAATTCCAGATGTTTAAAGAGATGGGAATTTTCCCTTTGGACAGTTGGGGGCCACTCATGGAAGCTTCTTGATGGGGATGATGCGGATGAATAACTGGACATGATTTTCATGGCCATAGGTGTGGAATATTAATCTAGCAGCCATATATAGGATTCATCCACACTTTCTTATTTGGACCCTGAGGTAACCAGTAGCCTGGATTTCACAATAGCTGATTAATCAAGGTTCTAGCCTTTGGTCTTGGAACAGAGTAGAGCTAATTCAAAATGAAAGGAAGATTGACCATCACCTCCCCTCAATGACTCCAGAAGAGGTATAAAGTAAAACCTAAAAACCAGAGCCATTTTACCGTAGGCTTTTTCTCTGTAATATGTAAACTCTTGACCAAGGGATGACCTAGATGATACTTCCCTCCAAAAGCTGTCTTCCTCCTTTTATATAAGATGCTGTAATGGTGGTTTCTCTTTATTTGTTCTTACACCTGAAAACAGTTTCAGAGTGGATAAGTTATTGCAAACTGCTATAAAAGAGGAGATAACCTATGGTTATAAACTAATATAATTATCTTCTTTTTCTCAGGTGGCTCATCAGCTGTGAGTTTAAACTCTAACCAGGCTTTGGCAAACCCAGTTTCAACACATACCATTTTGACTTCGAATTCCAGCCTCATGTCTACTTCGCATGGGACGAGAATGCCATCGTTACCCACAGCAGTTCAGAATATGGGGATGTATGGAAATCTGCCTTGCAGTCAACCTGGCACATACAGCGTCACTTCAGGAGTGAATCAGCTGACCCAGCAGAGAAACCCAAACCAACTGATAGCAAATCAAACCACCCCTCTGATGCCACGGCCACCTACCTTAGGGGCAAGTAATAATAATAATAACGTGGCCACTTTTGGAGCTGGACCTGTTAGCAGTTCGCAGCAGGTAAGACCAAATTTAACCCACAGCATGGCAAGCATGCCAGCGCAGAGAACGTCGAATGTAATGATCACATCCAGCACAACAGCACCAAACTGGGCCTCTCAAGAAGCAACAGCCAAACAACAGGAAGCCCTGAAGTCCACAGCAGTCCGCTTCCCCACAGGTGCACCTGCAGCCTATACTCCAAACCAGTCCCTACAACAGGCAGTGGGCAGCCAGCAGTTTTCTCAGAGGCCAGTGGCTCCTCCTAACCAGCTCACACCAGCAGTGCAGATGAGACCCATGAACCAAATGAGCCAAACATTAAATGGACAGACCATGGGTCCACTCAGAAGTCTGAACCTCAGACCCAGTCAGCTCAGCACACAAATTTTGCCTAATTTGAACCAGTCAGGAACAGGGTTGAGTCAGTCGAGGACAGGCCTGAGCCAGCCGCCATCCCTGACCCCGGGCAGTTTCCCTTCGCCCAACCAAAGTTCCAGGGCTTTTCAAGGAACTGACCATGGCAGTGACTTAGCTTTTGACTTTCTCAACCAACAGACCGATAACATGGGCCCTGCCCTGAACAGCGATGCTGATTTCATTGATTCTTTATTGAAGACAGAGCCTGGTAATGACGACTGGATGAAAGACATCAATCTTGATGAGATCTTGGGGAACAACTCTTAAAGGAGAAGAGGGAGACAATTAATAAACTCCACGCACTAAAAGGCAGTATTTCACAAGGACTCTGTAAAGGCCAAACTCTTGACTTTTAGTTGGACTATGTGAAGATACCTTGGCTTACACGTGGAAGCAGAAAGTTAACTGCAGTGCTTGGTTCAAATGTTTGTTTTAAGTCTCAAACCTGAAAGTAAAATCTTGGGATCACCTTTCCCTATCTAAACTCCAGGACACAGTATCCAGTTTTCCCAAACAGAACTGTGATGTTGATGTGTAATTAGTTGTGTAAAATAGGCTTCCCAAGCTCCTTTCCTCCCTGAAAGAAAAGTAATAGAGCTTGTCGCTTGCTAAATCCCATGTCATATGGAGGTTCTAGTTCCCAGCAACAAATTCCTTCATTTGCTCTAATAGATAATAAGTGTGGTTTAATCTTCACACTCCTGTCTTTTCATTTAGTTTTCCTAAGACGTCCAGGGTAGATTAAAATGTTATAGGTTTGTTTGGAGTAACCAAACAGTGCCCCAAGTAGAGCAAAGCCAGAGAAACTAGAGAACATCCAATGGATTATAGAGTTTCTTCCCCAGATTCACCTCTCACTTGGTCAGTTTTCCCACATACGCCATACTTCCGCAACATGCCATGTCTAGTGGTGAAACAAGATTGCAGCTCTCCAACTTTATTTGGGCTTCCACAATCAATTCCTGAATCCATTTCCAATTAGATAAAAATCACAACTTGTCCTAATCATACTGAAATATTGGTGCATATATGTCTGCATCAGATTTCACTATTTCAAAAAGAAAACATCCCATGGGACATGGCTACAAAGGAGATTTATCCAGCCACAAATAACCTGGGGTGTTGCTTCTTGTGATCAAGCCTGCTGGTTAGTTCCCATGCCGAGTGAAATTGAGCCTTGTCTTCCCTGCTTATTTTGATGACCAGAGACTGACTTGTAAGAAAACGGAGATAAGAAGGTATCTTGTTTTGATTGGAGATAAGAAACAGAAGATCAGGACAAGAAATGGTGGGTATGGTTGGGTACAGATCTATTTCACAGGGTTTGAAGGAAAGCATAATTGAGAGAGAAAACAATCTGTCCTGATTTGGGCATATTTTGGGTGAACAGCTAAAGAGAATGTGATCTGTTCCAGTAGCAATGTGTTCATTCTTGGCTCCCTGATATGATATATCTTCACCACATGCTAGACGGACCCTGCATTATCCAGGTTTTCTCCCTCAGGGCTGAGCACTGTATCAAAGAAGGAGTTTTTGTTGAGTCATCTCACCTCAGCGCCCACACACAGATCAGCTATAAAATGGGGAGGACATGTGCTGATTTGGAATGGATGCAAAATATCACTATCATTTTCCTCGTTACAGAAGAACATAGGTTATCTTCAACCTTTTTAGTTATATGCCCACATACTCAATTATCAGATGTAATTTAACTGGACTTGTTTAATAACTAAGTCTTTTGATACCTGTGCTAAAAAAGATCATATTTTGAAAGTTCTGCAAAGCCCTCTCTCAATCTTTAAAATGTCTAGAAGAACACTCTTTCTTTTACACAATACCAACATCACTGGCCCAGAATCTTTTCTGTGCTAGGTTGTAAATATGAATAAATGACTTGTTTTGTAAACTTTTGTAAAGAATATTTTGGTAGAAATACTTAAAACATATTCTTTGGGTTATATTTATACATATGTGAAATAAATATACTATCAAAAGGTTATATTTTATACAAAAAGTAAATTGTTACCTTTTGTATGCTAATATACAAAGTTTTGTATAATATGGTTTATTTTTAGCTCTACACTTAAACCGTAAGAGGTCAAGTGGGAACTTTTGAAAACTATCAAGAGGCTTGTTAGACAAATTTATATTCTGAAACCTCAAGAAGAAAGCATTCCAGGTTTCAATTTTTTCTTTTTTTTTTCTGCTCCCAAATTATTTTTTAAACCCATAGTTCTTTTGTCTTATTTGATCCTACTGCTGTGCACATTGTATTGGTTCTTGTTGCATGTGGTCTACTGTGTGTTTTCCCATTTTATAAAACAGTGTTTCTCCATGCAAAAAAGGAAAAAAAATATGTACATATAAACACTTTTATTTTATGACTCCTCCATGTTACTGTATATATTTGCCAGTACTTCCCAGTTACACTCCTGTGATTCAGCTTATTTTTACCCTAACATAAATAGTATGTTTTGTAGTAGCTATCAAATTTAAGAGATAAAGCAATCAGAATGTTTGGATTTTCTTCTATCTTAATGTGAATTTCATAATTAATGTCTATTTATTCAGCTACTCATTAAAATACAGGATTCTTTGGAAAAAAATGGTGTAGTCTATAGTTTCTGTTTTTTGGCAGCCTATGACCAAAGATGACGTAATTTTCCTGAAAGCTGAGATGATGACAATTTGATAGACAGAATATAGCCAAAACTTGAAGATTTACAACGTAAAAGCTATTGGAATCCAATCTCCCATTTATAAAGATACCGGACTACTTAATTCTTGGCATTGTTTATCATTCTAACATATTAAACAGGAGGTAGAAGTCATTTTTTTTTTTAATTCAAAGACTAGTAAGCAGTTTAGGCAAATAATTCATTCTTGGCTTTGTGTTAAGCCCAATGAAGATAAATAACCTTGCTCTGAGTGAATGCACTAATATTACTTGCATTACTGTAACTGTACCCATAACTGTAAAGATTTCAACTTGTAAAACAAGTATTTTGTATTGTGTGTAATTTCATGTGTTAAAAAATAGTTTTAAAAAATTCGGAAGTGGTTCTCTTGTATGAAATCATACTTTCAGTCACCAACAATATTGTTGCTATATCACAGAAAGTTCTGAGAACTATTAATAGCGATGGGCAGATTTAGTCTCTGGGAAGCTTCTAGTGAAATGCTGTCTTGTCTCTTTTCAGTGCTCTTTAGTTCACTTAGAAGGTTTGTTTTAAAATCCTGTATGCACAGCACCAATAAATACCGAAGAAACACATTCTCAGGCATGGTGGGCCTTTGCCTGGGCACCTGTTCAGGCCAAGTCTGAGTGAACACAAGGCCAGGTAAACACAGCTTCACTGAGCATATTTACACATTCCTTCTTGAGGGTCAAAGAGGTTAAGAAAAAGGTGGGAGGAGGCAATGGGAACCTTTCTCACCAATGTTCTTGCTCCCCTGTTGAAGTATGTTGCTGGGATTCCATTGTCCCTTCCCCCTCTGCCAGGAAGATGTGTGGCATTATCCTCTTTATTCGTGTTATTAATGGAGCAATAATAAAATTGACATTCTATGTGGTCCCGGTCCAATGACTCTGGGAAGTTCAATAGTAAACAAAATCAACATCAATAAAAATAAAGAAAATACACACAAATTAAGGGAAAGAATTGTGTAATTCTAAAATTGCCTATGGATCCCGGGTTGCACCCATGGAAGCAGGCTTGAGAGAAGAGAGAGTAAAAGCAAGTACGAATAAACCAGGAGCTTTGCTTCTTCCCATGCTGTGGTTGCCAAAGGCAGTTCAAATTCTTAAACATTTTATCTATTTCCATTTGGTATCTCTGTAACTATTGTTTCCTCACCCAGAAATGAGAGCACAGGGCTGAAATAGTTCTATATTCCTTTTCAACTATAAAATTCTGATTGTTGTTTTTTTTTCAAAGCTAAATGGAAAATGAACCACAAAAAACTCAAATACCATTATTATTTTTAAACTAAAGAACTCACTGTTCAACCTTTTGAAAATCTTCAGGTTATCAGTCAACTTTACGGAACAAAGCAGCCACCTCCTTTAAAATTAAATCACATGAGGGGCACCTGGGTGGCTCAGTCGGTAAGCGTCTGCCTTTGGCTCAGGTCATGATCCCAGGTCCTGGAATAGAGCCCCGCATCAGGCTCCCTGCTCCAGGGGAGGCCTGCTTCTCCCTCTGCCACTCCCCCTGCTGTGTTCCCTCTCTCACTGTGTCTCTCTCTGTCAAATAAATAAACAAAATCTTAAAATCAATCAATCAATCACATAAAAAGAGCGCTCCTCATAGTGAGCCAAAACTAGACCGTTCACAAACAGGCAACGTCTGTGATTAGCCCACTGACTACAAATCAAGTCCTAAAGATTGAAAGCTGGAATATAATATTAAAAGGTCATTTTCCTGTGAGATCATAGGATTTCATAAAGAAAATATTTGCCTGCTAGGAAGGAGGAAATCAATACTTTGAGTAGTGTCCGCCATGGGGATATATTAGGGTTTGTGAGTTTAAATGATAGTAATATCTTTTAAGTATACTTCCTAAGTTGCTATAATAAAGTACAGGTAGTGGCCTAGGATCAACTTCATTGGCAGCTTTAACATAACTAAAACATTGTATCATGGGAGTTAACAAAACACACTGACCTTAGATTTTTAAAAAAAAAACAAATGGTCTAGTCACCTCCTTCCATGCAGTAATAAGAGGGTTGGGGCGCCTGGCTGGCTCAGTCAGTGGAGCGTGAGACTCTTGATCTTAGGATTGTGAGTTCAAGCCCTGTGTTGACTGTAGAGGTGGCTTAAAAATAAAATCTTAAGTTCCTGGTGGTCGGTTGTCGCGGTTGGTGGATAGAAACTGAGCCAAGATGTGGAATCTGCTGGCTCTTCGTCAGATTGCCCAGAGGACCATAAGTACTGCTTCACACAGGCAGTTTGAAAATAAAGTTCCAGAGAAACAAAAGCTATTTCAGGAGGATAATGGAATTCCAGTGCATCTAAAGGGTGGAGTAGCTGATGCCCTCCTGTATAGAGCCACTGTGATCCTTACAGTTGGTGGAACAGCATATGCCATATGTCAGCTAGCTATGGCTTCATTTCCCAAGAAGCAGGATTGACTTCAGTTTATCATCTCAGCAGGCGGTTGGTCCAGTTTCATTCAGCTCTCTATGGACCAGATAAATGAGTTCTTCTTTGGGGATCAATATTTATTGACATACTAACTGCCACCAATAAAGCAGACTTTACCATGAAAAAAAAAATCTTAAAAAAAAAAGAGGGCTTTTGTTTATTTACATAAATGGCATTTAAGTTCTCTTTTAACCAAATTTAAGTCATTTTTAGCTCCAGGACATGCATGAGCATACATACTGTTTTATAATATTTAGGGCTCTTTCAGCAGATGGGAGGGAAAGAAGAAGGAAAAGAGAAGGAAGGAAAGAAAACATCTCAAATAGGCTTAGGAAAAGGAATTCACTGGTTGACACAACTGAAAAGTTTACAAGGTTTAGGCACAGCCAAATCCCTCAGGTAAACCATGTCATCGATAATTGGTTCTTTTCTGTTTCTCACCTTTGCTTCCCTGTGCCTTGACTCCATTCTCAGGCAGGCCCGGCTCTCATAGTGGCAAAACTGTTGCTAAAAGCTCCAGGCTTAAATCCTCACAACTCCAAGTCCAGCATAAACAATAATGAATGCTTTCCTTTCAAAAAATCAAGCTTTGCATCTCAACAAGCTTTGACTTGGCCAACAAGAGTCGGTGTTCTAATTGGTCAGGCTTGAGTCAAATGCCTATCCCTGGAGGGGATTAATACCACCAAACCATATGAACTAAGAGAGGGAAAGAGGTGATTTCCCCAAGGAAAATCAGGTTGCTATTATCAGGGGGAAAAAAAAGGTAGAGGGAAAAGAAAGAGAGAGAGATGTAAAATAAAACCACAAATGTCTACTGTCCCTTTCTGGCTGTTTTATTTCCACACACACTTTTTTTCCCATATTTTCAATTTCAAAATGTCACTAACCCAAGTACTCACCTCCTCCCCATAAGGAGGCAATCCAAATGTCACCACATCTTATTCTGTCGCATCTAAGTGAGGTAAACTCTTTTCTGCCAGGTCAAGATGAACCAGCAATCTAAGTCCAAAAGATGCTTATCTATTCCCAACGTATCCAAGTGGAGAGTGGAAAAGGTAATAATAACTTCTATTTGGAAGAGACACTAACATGTAGATCACTTCCTTCTGAACAAGAAGAATGAAGACTATTTTGTCTCTGGGTTTCCAAGTCAATGACCTGGGGAGGAGAAGTATTAAAAACTCCCCTCTTTCCACTCTTTCCTCCTGTCCCCCTTCCCAGGATGCAGGCCAGCTGCATTTTGCAATGGGAATAATCACCCCTTCCTCAGGGAGGATATTACATTCACTCCTGGGGAGGGGCCCAGGGAATCAGACTTGAGTTCTCAAGTTCCAGTCATATCTCCTGCTACGAATCCCATCTGTTTGACTTGGCGTGCAATAATTTTAGCCTAGGACTGAGAATTCAACTTTTCTCCCTGGTTTTCAGTCAGGGAAACAAAAAACCACTTTAAATAGTCTGACTGTCAGAGAGATTTTAATGCAAGGCATTGGTTACACAGATGATGGATGAGCTGAGAAGCCACATAGGGGATGGTGAGGCCATCTTGAGATGAGCAAAAGCAGGAAGACACTACCATTCCTAGGATGGAAGGACAAAAAGACAAGGGGCCAGGAATCACTAAGCAGATGCTGCAACATTGGCTGGCCTGTCCGGTAGGAGCCAGTCTGGTAAAGAGTTTCAGTTGTAGAGATGCCACCCATGACAGGGAGGAGAAGGAATACAATTCTTCCTTCCTCTCTTCTACTCTCCAGGCAACACATCTCAGTGGCTGAACTCAGCTGGTCATAGTTCACCCAGAGCATGGGGGAACATAGCCTGGAGCCTTACATCTCAGGCTAGGAAAGGGCAAGGAATAAATCTGCCAATAAACAGGCCCAGATCTGACACAACATGCCTGCAGATTTCTGGATCTCAGCCATTTTGGACTGCTGACCTGGAGCAAAAAGCAGATTTCCTAGCAAAGCCCAATTTTCTTCCCTACCTGCTTTCAGATACATTAATTTTGATCTAAATTTGTCTACTTATTATAAAATGGCATCAATTAGGAAACTGTTCAATTGCAACTAATGGACATTTAAAAAAAGGTTTTTAAAAATATTTTACTGACTCCTAGAAACACGTTTTTCAAATTTTCTTGTTTATAAAATAAGGTTATTATTTACAATGATGTGAAAAGAAAGCATATTATTGTATAGTTATCAGCACCTTTTTTCTTTCTTAATGATACATAAAATAATGCTGTGTCTTACAATCTATGACATCTTGGATGATGAAATGCAATGCTGCAAATGCCTCATGCAACAAGGGGTCTGAGGTGGGCAGTCCTAACTTAGTCCAACAATGCTATCAGGTACCCAAGCTATTTCCATCTTCATTTCTGCCATGAGGAAGCACAGAAATTTTCTTCCTCATTATTGTCAAGTTGTGGTGACAAGATAGTTACCTCAGCATCATGCCTATGTTCCAAGCTGGAAAAATGGAAGGGAAAAATTATGAAAAGAAAAAGGATTGTCTATAGCAAGCCTTTACTTTCATCTGGGAAAGGTCACCCTACCCAGAGACTTACCCATGCTCATTAGTCATGACTGAGTCTATGGACCTTCAGATCTTCAAGAGAAGCTGGGTGTCAAGGATTTAGTGTGATAGCCTCTATAGCAGAGGATGGCAAGAGAACAGGCTGTTGGAAATGATGGTAAATAAAAGTATAAGACATTCTTGGGAATGATAAACATAAATTCAGGATAGTGATCATCATTGAGGGAATTTAAAGAAATGTGATTGAAGAGGTATACACAGGGACTTAAATTATGTTATTTTCTAAACTGGATGGAGACTACATGATTGCTGCATTTTTTAATGTCTTTCTG